CTTTCTTGTGTAAATTGTCTAATCTTGAGTATGTCTTTATCAGCAGCATGAAAATGGACTAATACATACCATGTGCAGATGTTGGTGTACTTGATGGTATGCAGCAGGTTTCTCAGGCTCTATTTATTTTTAAATCTTTTAAAAAATGTTTTTTATTCCTGATCATTTTAATTGCCATATCTTCATGAGCTTTTCTTTCATGTATTCAAGTCTGCTGTTGTAGCTCTCTTGTGAATTTTTCCTTTCAGATACTGTTATTTCAGCTCCAGAATTTCTGTTTCATTCCTTTCTCATAATTTATATTTCTTCATTGATATTCTGTTCATACATTGTTTTTCAAATTTCCTTTAGTTCTTCATTCATGGTTGTTTTTTTTTTTTGTTTACTGAGCTTATTTCAGACTATCAGTTAATCATCTTTGGTTAGCAATTTCAGTATCTGGGCTTTCCTAGGAATGATTTCTGTCACATTCTCTTTTTCCCCATTGAATGAGTTATACTTTTCTGTTTCTTTGTATTGCTTGTAACTCTTTGGTTGAAAACTGCACATTTTGAGTATCATAACATGGGAAATTTGATTATCTGACACCTTAAGGATTATTGATTTCTGCTTGTTGAAGGATGAGGCAGTCTTTTTGAGACTTTTCTAAACCATTTGCAAAGTATATTCCTTGTTGTATATGGCAACTGAAATTTATGTTTCATTATTTCTGCTATCAGCTAGTGACCTGACAATGATTTTCTTAAATGTCTGGCTCCAAAAACAAAAAAGAGAAAAAGGGTACTGGCCCTTTAAATTTTCTGATAGATGTTGCTGGGGAGATCTGCTGCTGCTGAGAGGGCTAAAACCAAGGCAGGTGTCTCTGCCAGTTTCTGAGGGCACCCAGACCCATCAATGCACGCAACCCCAAGTTTTTAAAGGAGAAGGTCCCCACTGCCCATGCTGACACCTGCCAGCTGCTCCTGAAACAGGGGCAGCTATCCTCACAGCCATGGTGGGGCTGAATAATGGAGATCATGGCTGGTTCATGCGTTCCACTCTCTTACCTTAGAATAGCAGTTTCTGACTTTATCCAACATTTCTCTAGTTGTTATAAGTGTCCAAACAGGTTCTGGTGTTCTGACATAGCTGATTCAAAAGTGCTTTTTCTATTTCCCTTTGTTACTTTGTTGAAGGGAGCAACTTTTAGACCTTATTACTCCACCATTTTGTATGAAGTCACTTGTATGAATGTATTTTGAAATGTATGTAAATTGTATCTATTCTAAATTTTCACTTCTTACTTTTTTCACCAACCATTATGTTTTCCAGAAATTTACATGTTTCTTCCAGCTGCTCCATTACACTCCACAAATATGCATTTGCATTATTTTACCTGGCTTATCTCCAAGCATAAACACCCAGGTTGCATCTAGCTCCTCAATGTCGTAGGTAAAACTGTAGAAGAATCTTTGCTCATGTCTTCCCGTGATTCTGTGTAAAAATAATTTGGGCACATAGGCCCACAAGTGGAACTGCTGAATTCTAATATATTGGAGTATTTGTGTTCTTAATTTGACTAAGTACAACCAGACTGGTCTCTGAAGTGGCTACACCAGTCTATACTCCTATCAGCAATTCATGAAAATTCTCTGTCTCCACAATCTTTTTCCAAAGCTTAGCATTATATAACTTTTTTATTTTATGCAGTCTTGTATGGATGGACTTAAGTTATATTTCAATGATTTCTAATTATTTTAAGCATTTCTTCCATGGCTTTTCCACCCCTAAATGGTATGTGCCTTTCCACCTCTGTCTGAGAGGATTAATCCTGCATTACCTGAGGAAATGGTAATGGCCACCTCTGAGGCAGTGGTCACGCATGACACTGCTGATTCTCCTAATGACCCAGCCCTACCACCCCTCTTTGCTTCTAGACCTGTAACTAGACTCAAGTCCCAGCAGGCCCGTAAAGTCAAAGTACGAAGTGTGACCCAGGAGGTGCACTATCCTCCAAAGGACTACTTGTGTTTTCCAATTTATACCGGCAGAAATCCAGGGCACATGCATGGGAATGGATGTTAAGGGTGAGGGGTAATGGTGAAAGGAATAAAAATGGGATCAGATTGACTTTAATGACTTGGGCCCCCTAAGCAGAGATTCTGCATTTAATGTTGCAGCTCATGGAGTTAGAAAGCATTCTAATTATTTGGCTGGTTAGTTGGATAAAATAGGGATAAAAAAGTGTCCCACTGTGAGCAAGTTGGTGATGCCTGATTGCCTTTGGGTTAACATAGAGGATGGGATTCAAAGGCTTAGGGGGGTTTGAATGCTAGAGTGGATCTGTCACTTAAAACCTGCTGACCCATGCTGAGAAAGTTGAGAAAATAACCTTTTACCAACATTTTGAGAGAGTGATTTTTGAGAGGAGTCCCAGCATCCCTGAAGAGCTCTGTGATTATTCTTGGTAGGTTAGATCTTCTAGTGGGAGCCACAGTTACTCAACTGGAAAACTTAAATCCAGTGAGTATAATAGGATTCTGGGATGGCAGGAGCCAAGAGGCAGCTGCCATCTCCGAATCCTGCCAAAGGCAAGGTGGGCATAGTTATCATAATAAACAGCAGAGACAAAGCAAAAATCAGAATAGTCTGACTTGTGTATATCTGCGGCATTTGCAAATTAATCATGGTGCTCCTAGAAGTGAAACAGCCAGGAAACCTATCTAAATTTTTACTTGATCTGTATAAGTAGAAAACTTGCAGGTCAAGTGAAGAAAAGTCTAACTCAAATAATAAAAACAGAGACTGAAATCATGGCCCCTCAATCAATTCCCAGTTGGGCCAGTTTCCAGACCCAGAACTCCTTGGATGAAAGGGAGGTCAGGTCCCCTTCAGGAAAGACCCCATATGCTACTAAAAATTTATACTGTCAATCATTCTCCAAGCCTTCTTCAAAGGGAACTATGGTTTTGTTGTTGTTGATGTTGTTGTTGTTTTTAATTTTGCAACTAGGGTAAATGTGCACTGGAGAAAAAGAAATGGAAGCTTTGGGGGATTATTAGACTGAATTGACATTGATTCCAAAAGACCTTAGCTTTCTGGACAGAATTGGGACTTACAGAGGTCAGATGATCAGTGGAATTTTAGCTCAGGTCTGACTCACAGTGGATCCAGTGGGTCCCCGAACCCATCCTGTGGTTATTTCCCCAGTTCCAGAATGCATGATTGGAATAGACATATGTAGCAGCTGGCAGAATTCCCACATTGCTTCCCAACTTGTGACATGAGGAGTATGATGGTGGGAAAGGCCAAACAGAAGCCATTAGGACTGCCTCCACCTAGGAAAATCGTAAATCAAAAACAACAGCACATCCCTGAAGCAATTGCAGAGATCTGTGCTATTATCAAGGACTTGGATGATGTGAGAGGCGGGTAATTCCACCATATCCCTGTTCAGCTCTCCTGTTTGGCCTGTGTAGAGGACAGATGGAATCTTGAGAAATGACAGTAGGTCACTGTAAGCCCAATCAAATGGTTACTCCAATTGCAATGGCTGTACCAGATATGGTTTCATCACTTGAGCAAATTAACACATCTCCTGGTACTTGGTATGTGCGGTTGCTCTAACAAATGCCTTTTATTCCATCCTTGTCCACAGGGCCCACCAGAAACAATGTGCCTTCAGCTAGTAATATACCTTCACTGTCCCACTTCAGGGGTATACTCATTCTCCAACTCTATGCCATAATCTAGCTTGCAGGGATCTTGATTACCTTTTTTCCCACATCCTATCATACTGGTCCGTTACACTGATGACATTATGCCGATAGGACCTAGTGAAGGAAAAGTAGCAGCTACTCTAGACTTATTGGTAAGACATTTGCATGTCAGAGGATAGGAAATAAATCCAACTAAAATTCAGGGGCCTTTTACCTTAGTGAAATTCCTAGGGGTCTAATTGTGTGGGGCATGTCAAGATACCCCTTCTAAGATCAAGGATAAGCTGTTGCATCTGGTCCCTCCTACAACCCAGAAAGAGGCACAGTGCTTGGTGGGCCTACTCAGGTTTTGGAGGCAACACGTTCATAATTTGGGCATGTTAATCTGATCCATTTGCCAAGTGACCCAAACGTCTGCTACTTTAGAGTGGGGCCCAGATCAGGAGAAGGCTCTGCAACAGGCACAGGCTGCTGTACAAGCTGCTCTTACACTTGGGTGATTAGTCCCAGCAGATCCAATAGTGCTTGAGGTGCCAATGGCAGACAGGGTTGCTCTTTGGTGCCTTTGGTAGGCCCCTATGGATGAATCACAGGGCAGGCCTTTAAGATTTTGGAGCAAGGCCCTTCCGCCATCTGCAGATAACTACTGTCCTTTTGAAAGTCAGTTCTTGGCCTGCCACTGGGTCATAAAAGAAACTAAACACAGCCACGGGCCACAAAATTACCATGAGACATGAACTGCCCATCCTGAATTGGATGTTATCTAACCCAGCAAGCCACAGAGTTGGGTGTATACAGCAGGACTCCATCTTCAAATGGAAGTAGTGTATACATGACCAGGCCAAGTAGGTCCTGAAGGCCAAATAAGTTACCTGAGGAAGTGGCCCAGTGCCCATTTTTTCTTCTTCTTTCTCTCTCTCGGCTTCAGAGGGAGTACCCTACAATGAAATGCCACAGGGAGAGAAGACTAGGACCTAATTTAAAGGTGATTCTGGGGCCGGGTGCGGTGGCTCAAGCCTGTAATCTCAGCACTTTGGGAGGCCAAGGCGGGTGGATCACGAGGTCAAGAGATCGAGACCATCCTGGTCAAAATGGTGAAACCCCATCTCTACTAAAGATACAAAAAATAAGCTGGGCATGGTGGCACGTGCCTGTAATCCCAGCTACTCAGGAGGCTGAGGCAGGAGAATTGCCTGAACCCAGGAAGTAGAGGTTGCGGTGAGCCGGGATCGCGCCATTGCACTCCAGCCTGGGTAACAAGAGTGAAACTCCACCTCAAAAAAATAAATAAATAAATAAAATAATAAAATAAAGGTGATTCTGCATGATATGCAGGCACCACCAAAACGTGGATAGACGCAGCATTACAACCTCTTTCTGGGACATCCCTGAAGGAAGGGAAGTCTTCCTCATGTGCAGCACTTCTTAGTGCACCTGGTTGCCTACTTTGTTTGGAGGGTAATCACCAGATGTGCTACTGTTTCATGGGCTGGATGGTCAGGGACTTAGAAGGAACATAATTACAAAATGGATGACAAAGAGATTTGGGGAACAGGTATGTGGATATACTTCTCTGAATGGACAAAGAATATGAAGAGATATGTGTCCCATGTGAGTGCTCACCAAAGAGTGACTTCAGCAAAGACTTTAATAATAAAGTGGATTATCTTACTTGTTCTGTGATGCTAGTCAGCCTCTTTCCCCAGCCACCCCTGTCATTGCCGCAGAGGGCTCATGAGCAAAGTGTCCATGGTGACATGAATGAAGATTCAGGGCTCAGCAACAGGGGGACTTCTCACAAAGGCTGACCTGGCTGTGGCCACCTGTGAGTGCCCAATCTGAGACCAACACTGAGCCCCTATCTCTCACCATTCCCCAGGGCTATCAGCCAGTGATCTGATTCCACCATCGTGGTATTCCACAAAGCATTGCTTCTGACCAAGGAACTCACTTTTCAGTCAAAGAAGTGTGGCAGTCAGCCCATGCTCATGGATTTTACTGGTCCTACCACATTCCCCATCACCCTGAAGCAGCTGGCTTGATAGAACCGTGAAATGAATGGCTTTTGAAGATGTAGCTGCAGCACTAGCTAGGTGAGAATACCTTGTAGTGCTGAAGCAAGGCTCCCCAGAAGGCTGTGTATGCTCTGAATCAGCATCCAATATATGGTAGTACTATTTGTCCCATATCTATGACTCACCAGTCTAAGAATCAGGGATGGAAATGGGAGTGACACTACTCACCATTACTCCTAGTGACCCCCTAGCAAAACTTTTTCTTTCCATCTGTTGTCCTAAGGGTCTTAATTCCAGAGGCATGACTGTTTCCACCAGGGCACACAACAATGATTCCAGTGAACCTGAAATTAAGACTGCCAAGCAACCACTTTGGGCAATTCATGCGTCTGAGTCAACAGGCTAAGAAGGCTGGTGCAGTGTTGGCTGGGGTGATCGATCTGGACCACCAAAAGAAAATTGGACTATCACTCCACAACAGAGGTAAGAAAGAGTATGTCTTGAATATAGGAGATTCCTTAGGAGATCTCTTAGGATTACAATGCACTGTGATTAAGGTCAGTGGATAACTACAGCAACACAATCCAGGAACAACTAAGAATGGCCTAGACCTTTCTGAAATGAAGCTTTGGGTCACCCTGCCAGATAAATAGCCATCACCAGCTGAGGTGCTTCCTAAAGGGAAAGGGAATATAGAATGGATAGTGGAAGAGGGTAGCTATCAATACCAGCTATAATGACGTGACCAGTTATGGAATTGAAACCAATAATTGTCATCAGTATCTCCTCCCCATTTTGCTAAGAATGTGTTCTGCTTATATACATGTATTAAACAAGTGTCTTTGTTTTCTTTCCACTTTATCATGTGACATAAGATATATTAGCTTTATGTAAGTAATTACTGTTAACTTTATTGTTATTAATATTTTATTTTTATTTATGGGATGGAGTCCACTCTGTCGCGTAGGCCAGAGTGCAGTGGCATGATCTCAGCTCTGCAAACTCTGGGTTCAGGTAATTCTCCTGCCTCAGCCTCCTGATAGCTGGGATTACAGGTGCTTGCCACCTGCCACCTAATTTTTTTTTATTTTTAGTAGAGACAGGGTTTCACCATGTTGGCCAGGTTGGTCTCGAATTTCTGACGTCAGGTGATCCACCTGCCTTGGCCTCCCAAAGTGCTGGGATTACAGGGGTGAGCCACTGCAGCCAGTCAAGCATTAACTTGACATCATAGCATTTAATTTATGGGCTATCAGGAGAAGAGAAAACACCACTCAAGGACTTTACTTCCTTTTCTGGGGAAGGAATTAGTGAATCTCAGCTGTACACAGGAGAATTAGGTGGAACTATGACTTTGTTGTTATCTTTTTCTGGAGATTATGGTCTGAAGAAAGGTATCTGGGTTGAAAAGGGATGGACTTGTGATGGTTAATTTTAGGTGTCGACTTGACTGAACAAGGGATACATGGGTAGCTGGTAAAGCATTATTTCTGGGTGTGTCTGTGAGAGTGTTGTGGAAGAGAATGGCATTTAAATCAGTGGACTAAGTAAGGAAGATCTGCCACTCAATGGGGGCAGGCACATTTCAGTCAGCAGAGGGCCCAGAAAGAACAAAAAGGCAGAGGAAAGATGAACTCTCTCTTTTTCTTCTGGAGTGGGGACACCCTATTCCTGCCCTTGGACAGCAGAACTCCAGGTTCTCTGGTCTTTGGACTCTGGAGCTTGCATCAGTAGCCTCCTGGTTCGCAGAACTACAACCCAGGACTGAGAGTTATCCCACAAGTTTCCCTGGTTCTGAGGCCTTCAGACTTGGACCTGGTCATGCTACCAGCTTTCCTGGTTCTTCAGATTGCAGACATCCTGTCATAGGATTTTTCAGCTTCCATAATCACACTAGCCATTCCCCCTAATAAATATCCTTTCATCTTTCTCTCTCTCTCCCACTCTTCTTCCTATTGGCTCTGTGTCTCTGACTAACAAACCATATCATCTAGCAATTGCCCTCCTTAGTATTTACCCAAATTAGTTGAAAACTTGTGTCTACAGTATAACCTGCACATGGATGTTGTACTAGTTAGTTCTTGCACTGCTATAAAGAACTACCTGAGACTGGGTAATTTATAAAGAAAAGAGGTTTAGTCGGCTTACAGTTCTGTGGACTGTACAGGCTTCTGCTTCTGGGGAGGCCTTAGGAAACTTACAAGCATGGTGAGACATGAAGGGGAAGCAAGCACGTCTTACATGGTGAGAGGAGGAGGAAGACAGAAAGGGGGAAGCTGCCATACACTTTTAAAAAGCCAGATCTCATGAGAGCTCTATCACAAAACAGCACTAGGGAGATGGTGCTAAATCATTAGAAATTACCCCGATGATCGAATCACTTCCCCGGAGGCCCACCTCCAACACTAGGGATTACAATTCAACATAAGATTTGGGTAGGGACACAAATCCAGACCATATCAGATGTTTACAGAAAGTTTATTGATAATTGCCAAAACTTGGAAGCATCCAAGATGTCCTACATTAGATGAATGGATAAATAAACTGTGTTGCATCCAGACAATGGGATATAATTCAGGGCTAAAAAGAAATGAGTTATTCATCCACAAAAAGACTTTGAAGAATCTTAAATGCATATTACCAGTGAAAAAAGCCAATCTAAAAAAGCTGCATACTATATGATTCCAAGTGTATGGCTTTCTGGAAAAGACAATAGTATGAAGCTATTAAATAGGTCAGTGATACCCAGGGGTTAAGAGGGAGGAAGGGAGGAACAAGCAGAGCACAGAGTATCATACAGAATGTATGATACTATAATGATGGATATACGTCAGCCCACATTCGTCCATTACACATTTGTTGAACGCACAACTCCAAGAGTTAGCCCAAAGGTAAACTATGGACTCTGGGTAATAGTGATGTGTCAATGTAGGTTCATCAGTTTTAACAAGTGTGCCATCCTGGTGGGGATTCTTGGTAATGGGGAAGGCTGTGCACGTGTGAGGGAAGGGGGCATATGGAAAATCTTTGTACCTTCCACTTAATTTTTCTGTGAAGCTAAAGCTGCTCTAAAAAATAAAGTCTATTTTATAAAAAGCCAAATAAAATATTTGAAAATTTTAAAAAAGGTGGTGAATTTTCATCTGTGACTTCTAAGGAGGAAAAAATCCCAAGCTTAGTGAAAGCAAATTCTTAACAATGAGCCTTGTTTTTTTAAAATCGCTTAATTCCATCTGTTGGTCTTAGGATGTACTCTGCCACTAACTTAATCAGGCCTTAACCTTCTGAAACACATTTATACAGGTATCTGTGGTTCAGGTCTCTTCCTCTAATAGGCTGGATTAGAATCCTCTTAGAATGTTCTTTCTAAGAAATAGATCTAATTTTTAAGCGATATTCCACGTTTTAAAATCCCTCAGAGACATCATAATTAGCTTAATTTAGGTTACAGATGGTTACATAAAGCAATAGTTATAGATATATGCATATGAAAAGGTTAGTATGCACACATATGAAACCCTGCTCTGTCAGCTGAGAGACCTCAAAGAAGGGCTGTGGTTATACCCCAGTGACAATGAGCACACCTACTGCCCAAATTTTGTTTTCTAGTACTAATAGTCTTCAATAAAAGACACTAGGGCTCCTTAGGGAAATGATAATTCTAGGACTGGGACAGGAAATATACAAGATGAGCTTGAAGTATCTTGCAGTTCTTGAAAGTAAGGGAAGTGTTTTTTAATATCACAAGGGGTGAGGTGAGTGGGAGGAGGGTGTCAAAGAGACACAGGAGTGAATTAAAAGAGCTCCCAGTGACCAAAATTTTATTTTGAGCAACGAAATAAGGTAGAGTGGATTATAAACTAAGGTATAAAGTAAATATTCATGAGTGTATGCGTGTATAAATAAGTTATTTACTGAATAAACAAGTGGAGGAAAACAGACACATGTCTTATGCGGAATTAATTTAGGTGGATACTCTCCCTTCAAGAAAGGTAAGCATAGCTCCTCACTCTTTTTTTATTTTATTTTATTTTTTTTATTGCATTTTAGGTTTTGGGGTACATGTGAAGAACATGCAAGATTGTTGCATAGGTACACACGTGGCAGTGTGATTTGCTGCCTTCCTCCCCTTCACCTATATCTGGCATTTCTCCCCATGCTATCTCTCCCCAACTCCCCATCTCCTGCTGTTCCTCCCTTATTTCCCCCAGCAGACCCCTGTGTGTGGTGCTCCCCTCCCTGTGTCCAAGTGCCCTCATTGTTCAACATGGTTCATTTTCTGTTCTTGTCAGTTTGCTGTGGCTCCCTACTCTTTAAGGGTGCGCTGCACATGGCAATTCCTTCCAAAGAGCATGGTGTGCATTGGAGAAGCCTGACAAACACTACCTTGTCAGATGATGAAGGTCAATGTCAGCAGTGAAAAGTCACATTGATAGCATATATCCTTATTATACTATGATGACAATGGCACTTTGCCTCTGTGGTCTTCCTCCCCCAAATCCACAATCCCAGCCTAATCACAAGATAGATGTCAGACAAATCACTTGATCAGTGCCTCTCAAAACTGTCAAGGTCATCGAAAAGCAAGGAAAGTCTGAAAAACTGTCGCAGCTAAGAGGAACCTAAGGAGACGAGAGGACTAAGTGTAATGGAATATCCTCGATGGGATCTTTGTACAGAAAAGGACTTCAGGTAAAAACTAAGTACGGTCTTCAGTTCATAATAAGCTATCAATATTGGTTCATTAATTGTAACAAATGCATTATACTAATGTAGGATAATAATAAGGGAGGGTCTGGTGCAGTTTCTTGCATCTGTAATCCCAACACTTTCAGGGCCAAGGTGAGAAGAATGTTTGAGCTCAGTTCAAGACTGCACTGAGTCATAATTGTGCCACTGTGCTCCAGCCTGGATGACAGAGGTAGACCCTGTCTTAAAACAAATAATCATAAATATGTAAATATAGGGGAAAATGAATGTGTAGCATGTATAGGAGCTCTCTGAACTATTTTCTCATTTTTTCTGTAAATATGAAACTATTTTAAAATTTAAAAAAAGTTTATTCAAAAACATCTCTCCAGAGACTGTGAAGTCCCTGGAGTCCATAGTGGTGGTGGTGGGTGGAACATCCCTATGCATTTCTAAGCAGTTTAAATGGTTGTGAGTGTAAGGCATTGTGAATGAATGGTGCACCTCCAGATGGAACAAAATGCTACACATATGTGTGCACAGGTGTACAGGGTTCTGTGTGTCCAGCAGTAGCTTCCATGCAGGAAAATGAGCAGGTTAATCAAAGTCAGAATATTCTCTCTGCCTAATGAATTAAAAGAGAATGTGTTTTAGAAACATGTAGTGTGCACTCACTCACACACAAACACACACACACATTAAAAATGACTCTGGGGCAGCCTCATCCCTAGAGCTTTTCCTTTAAACTGCCTTGTCACCATCACAGATGGGTGATCACACCAGCCTTTTTTTTC